ATATAATGTAACCAAATATGCTAAAAAAATATAAATAAATAAATAAACCTTAAAAAAAAAGTAATTACTGTTCAAAGAAAGAATTAAAGAATCTTATTCGAAACAGGTTTGAAACCACCTAGATCTCAAATTCTTTCAATTTAAAAAGACAAATATTAACATAAAAGAATTAAATATAGAGTTTCTAGGATTTGAAGTTTTAAAGATTCAGAATTTAAATAGAGATTGATTAAAAATTTATGAACTAAAACCATATTTCATTCCTAGAAATAAATAAATAGAGGAACTAGATTAGTCCTTGCCCATAGTAGCGAGCCTAACTATGAATCCAAAACACTCATGGCGACACCTTTAAATGATAAGGAAAAATAAAAACCGAAAAAATTGTGTATATTTTTGGAATTATTGGTAGAAGTTAGTACTATTATGAACTTACTTATAAAAGATAGTATCTTATCACAAAAACAACTTCAATTATTTTATTGTGTACAATCATTTTTTAAGAAAAATATAAAGAATATACATGATCTCCAATGTAGCAACTACATTATCAGATGAATATATTAGAATCGTATCAATTGTCTTCTAGGGGAAGAGAGAGAGAAAGAAATAAAATAAAAATAAAAAATCTCTATGCAACTTTGCTGCCAAGTGGTTATTTATCTCATCATAACCCCTGATATAATGTGATCTGTCAACCTATTTTTATTTTTCGAAATTAAATAAATTTTGTTTTATTTTCCTAAATTAAAAGAAAAAAACTATCACCAAAAACTTGTCTCTCAAGATAGATCTCCTTTTGGTATCTAAAAAAGAAAAAATATAAATATCTTTTTGGAATCATTGGTAGAGCTAGGTTAGTATTATTTTGAACTTATCCATAAAAGATATTATCTTATGACAAAATTTAAATAGAGCGGGAGTAAAAATCTATAAATTAAAACCATATTTAGGAACTAGATTAGTCCTCTGCCCATAGTAGCAATAATATTTCCCAGCCTAATTATGAATCCAAAACACTCATCGCCATCACCTTTAAATGATAAGGAAAAATAAAAACCAAACAAAAATTGTGTACATTTTAAGTTATGGATAGATATATATTTGTGATTTGTAAGTTGGATACATAAAAATAGGGACGATCCATTTTAGGGAGAGAAAAAAAATAGGCGAGAGATTATAGGGAGAGGAAATTGCAAATGGTTTGTGAAAGAAATTAAACTAAAAGATATTTTGATGGAATCAATAATAAAAAAGAGCCAAAAGCCAAATGGTAGCTCTAGAAATATAATAAATACTATTTTAAAAAATAGGTTTAAATACTATTTGCAATTATGGAAAGAGAGAAGAGAAAAGGAAAACAGAACGAAAATTTCGATGTGCACTATAGAAGCTGCACGATAAAAATATATATATATATATATATGCATGTCCTTCGTGTGGCAAATTTGGATTTACTAAATTTACTAAAACCATATAAATTATTAGCTACGATTTACTAAAGCCATATGAATTATTTGGATTTACTGAAATTTTATCACTTATTTGTGATTGATTAAAATTTGTGGAAGAGAAGAAGAATGTGGGAAGGAGAAGGGAACGGAGAGGAAAAGAAAAAGAAAGAGGAAGGAAGAAAGAAGAAGAGTGGGAAGAAAAGAAATTTGTGTTTGATCATTTTTTTTTAAGTTAAAAAGTAAGAATATGCATGATCTCCACGTAGCAAATAGGTTGTTAGGTGTGTATATACTAAAATCAAGAAACAAGAAAAATATAAAATCTTGATGTGCAGTAGTAGCATCAGTTTTCAAGAAAAAAAACAAAACTGCATGGCTTCCATCTGGCAACTTTGTTGTCAAGTGGTTATTTATCTCATCATAACCGCTTGATATAACGTGATTTTAGCAACCTACTTTTGTGTTTCAAACTTAGTCAATTTTGTTTTATTTCCCTAAATTGAAAGAAAAACAATCATCCAAAAACTTGGTGTGCATATGCTAAAATAGTATCAGTTATCTTCTAGGGAAAAGAGAAGTGAGAGAATGAAACAAGAAAAACGGTAAAAAAGTCTTCGAGTATAGAAGGAGCTTCAGTTTTAAAAAATTACAGGGTACAACTGCAGTTTTGCTGCGAGTGATTATTTATCTCATCATAATCGTCTGATATAATGTGATTTCTTAACCTATTTTTGTCTTTTAAAATGAAGTCAATTTTGTTTTATTTTCCTAAATTGAAAGAAAAAAATCACTCAAAAACTTATACCTCAAGATATATTTCCTTTGGAATCTAATAAAAACTATTTCAATTACTCAATTGTGCATGATCATTTTTAAAAGAAAAAAAATAAAGTATATGCATGATCTCCACGTAGCAACTACATTTTCAGGTGCGCCAGATATTAAAATAGTATCAATTATCTCATTGGAGAGAGGGAGAGAAAGAAACAAGAAAAATAAAAAATATCAGGGAACTGACAGCATCAGTTTTCGAAGAAAAATAAAAACGAAAATTGCATGGCTTCCACCTGGCAACTTTGCTATCCAGTGGTTATTTATCCTATCATATAATGTGATTTGTCAACCTATATTTGTCCTTCAAAATGAAGTCAATTTTGTTTTGGTTTCCTAAATTGAAAGAGGAAAAAACAATCACCCAAAAAACTTCTCTCAAGATAGATTTCTTTTGATATAAAAAAAGGAATATATATATATATATATATATATTCTTAAAATTATTGGTAGAGGTTAGTACTATTAAGAACTTACCCATAAAAGAGAGTATTTTGTAACAAAAACAACTTCAATTACTTTATTATGCATGGTCATTTTTTAAGGAAAAAATAAAGAAAATATGTATGATCTACACGTAGCAGTTATTTTGTCAGGTAGCTATTTATCACCACAATAATAGAGTACACTAAAATGGTATCAATTATCTTTCAGGGAGAGAATAGAGAGAATTATCTAATAGAAAAGAGACAGAGGAGAAAAAAAAATCTATATACAATAGCAGAATCAGTTTTCAAGGAAAAAAAAAGTAAAAGAAGTATGCATGGCTTCCACCTGTTAACATTGCTGTCAGGTGGTTATTTATCTCATCATAATCATAACAGTTTTTACTTGTAAACCTATTTTTCTCTTTTAAAATTAAGTATTTTTTTTATTCTCGTAAATTGAAAGGAAAAAAAAACAATCATCCAAGAAACTATATATATATATATATATATATATATATATATATCGTTTTGGAATTATTGGTAGAGGTTAGATGTTAGCGTTATTTCGAACTTTCCTATAAAAGTATCTTCTAACAAAAACAACTTCAATTACTTTGAAGTGTGATGCATTACCTTATATAATAAAATATAAAATAAAAAAAAACCCCTTGTCATGTATCATAACATGCTAGAAAAGGTAATTAAAAAAAATATCATTGAAAACAGGTTTCGAACAAACCTAGATCTTACCTTCTTTCAATTGAAAAAGAAAAATATTCTAACAATAAGAATTAAATATAGAGTTTGTATTAAAAATTTAAAATTTAAATAGAGTGCGAGTAAAAATGATGTATAAATTAAAACCATATTTCTTTGTTAAAAATAAATAAATAGAGGAAGTAGATTACTCATCTGCCCATAGTAGCAATAATATATTGGAGCCTAACTACCAATCCAAGACACTTGAAAAAGTCTTTTAAGCGTAATTCAATGCCAACRTAAAAAAGCAAAAAGAATTGTGTACCTTATAATTTGCGACTCTCCAATATTGTATACTTAAAAATGGAATATCCGTTCTAAAAAGAGAGAAAAAAAAAAGGGAAGAGGGAGAGACAAAAAGGAGAGGAGAAACTTCAAAATGGTTTGTAAAAAAAACTAAAAAGATATTTGGTTAGATCTATGAGTCTTAATAAAATAATAAAAATAAGAAAAAAAGTTACAATGATTTCCCGCGTGGCGAATCTTTCACTCTGCCTTCTTTCGAACATTTATTTCCATATTATGGAGCCACGTCAGAGTGAGAAAGAATAATGGTCTTAATCCTTTAGAAACAATTTATTTCCAAGTGGTAGTCTAGAAATAGAATAAGCATCGTTTTTTTAATGTTTAAATACTCTTTTGGTTCTTATAGTTCATGATATTCAATTATCATACTAAAATTGTATCAATTATTTGTGTTATAATTTTATCAATTAACAAGTGGGTGAATTTGGGAATATGGTGCAAACAATTGGAGGTTGGAAAAATCTCTATTGGATACACGACGATCAATTTTAAAGAAGGTTATTTATCACATCATACCGTGTGATATAATACCAATTGTCAACTTATTTTTGTCTTTTAAAATTAAGCCAGTTTTGTTTCATTCCTCTAAAAACTACACTATTTAAAAAAACTACGCTATTTAAAATAAAAATTCCAACGATGAAACGAAAAGTTTTAAAATGTTACTATTGGATGAAAAAAATCACCCAAAAACTTGTCTCAAGATAGCTTTCCTTTGATATTTGAAAAGGTGAAAAAAAAAATAAAAAACTCTCTTTTTGAAATTATTGGTAGTGTTATTATATTATGACCTTACCCTGAAAAAGTGTATCTTGTACCCTCTCAAATGGATTAGTTTTCTCCCATGTCTTGAAATATTAACAAGAACAACTCCAATTACTTTAAAATGTAATCATATATGCTAAAAAAATAAATAAATAAACCTTAGAAAAAGTAATTCAATTTTTGTTCAAAGAAAGAAATAAAGAATCTTATTGGAAACAGGTTTCGAACAACCTGGATCTTACTTCTTCCAATTCAAAAAGACAAATATTCTAACATAAAGAACTAAATATAGGGTTTCTAGGATTTGAAGGTCTAAAAATCCAGAATTTAAATAGGGATTGAGTAAAAGATTCACAAACTAAAATCATATATTAGTCCTAAAAATATATAAAATAGAGAAATTAAAGTTGAAAGTAGAAGGACCACCGTACGATGTTGTGAAATTAGAAATTAGAAATTACAGGAAAAACAAAAACACATTTAAACCTAAAACTTTTTACAATGTCCAGAACCAAACAAAAAACAAAACAAAACCGCATGTTTCATCTTACATTGCCACACTGCTGAAACATGCACCAGCAGCGGCAAACCACAAAGACAAAGCTGTAAATCCGACCCATCTCTTTGGCTAAGTTTAAGATAAACGTTATTTATAAACATAGCATACAATTTTCACATCAAACCCAGCTACCGAACATCGTCAAAAAGACCTTTAGCATGGCAACGAGCGAGCAACCAAAGAACAATGGCCTCGTTGTATGATTTCAAGCATCAGGTCACACGAATGATCGGTCTTGGTGCTGTTCTCGAGATGATTTGTACAAGTATGGATTAGCTCAAGCGGATAAATTCAAGTCCTTTGGCTTGTAGTAGCTTCCATCGACCCCCTCGGGCGCCTTAACTTGAGTTCGATATCAATGAGGAAGTAGCATTTAGTTTGCTCTCTAACATACAGAACGCTACCGTTCAATTTATTGAGAAGTCTACGTGACAGGTTTAACGCAAGGCCTTCCTGCGAGGTCCACTGCTGTCCTCCTCCAACCATATCTTGGATTAAATCAGGAGGCAGACCTTGACCTGGATGTGACATTCTAAATACAAACAAACCAAAACACATCATTCTCCCAATAGTTCTTATGCCTTTCACAAGTCGTCGCAAGATTATGAAGGAATACAGATTAAACAAGTGACCACTATTGCTACACATTATTCGATCGCGATCGAATAGGTAGCATACATGAAAAAAATCATGCCATAAATCAAAGAACAATTCTTTCACTATTGCTCACTATTAAAATTTTTTACAAATATCCTTTTAGAAAAAACAAATCTCCTCTCTCCGTCTATGCATGTTTCTCTTTCCTATCCGTCAAAAATTTTATGGTAGACCAATGGCCCAATAGAGAGTATTGTCCTGGATTAAAAGATTCGTACCCTCTTTTATCTTGGATATTTTTTTTATAACGGGGAGTCGAAGTTTTACTCCCCTATATCCAAGAGCAACTTGTGCCCGCACCAAGGCCCAGGAGATATCAAGGGTTTTTGGTATTAAGTTCACCGGAAAGTTCAAACTTGAGAACTATAACCAATATGATCAAGAGACCCCAAACCTAACCACTTCTCGATTTTTTATCTTAGATTTTCTTTTTCTAAGCAAATAAAGATGATGAAGATGATGAACAAAAAAGGGTGTATGCTAGTATGGCTTAGGAATAATGTTGCTTTGGATGACCTAACATTGCTATTTGGACAACTGTTTGTCCAAAGACAACAACAATTTCCATGATTATAGTACTAAGGACCCCTTGCCTAAATTAGATGTCGTGTTTTTATTTTCAGTTAAGACAGAAGCCAAAGAAGAATTTTGGTTCATCAAGCAACCTTCACACACATGCTGAATCAAACCCCAATATAGAAGTTAATATGCTAAAAATGTCTGCCAAGTTCCAAACATATAAACACAAGAGTAAAGACAAAGCTATACAAAGAGAATATGATATAAAATCTGAAAAAAAGGGACGAGTTATTAGAGTACCTGATCTGCAAGTGAATATGTTCATTTCCATCTTGGATAAGCTTCAAGCCAGACGAAATGTGGATTTCAACCCAACCGTCCGGAACAGGCGTGTGGCGTACTATGTTAAGTAAGAAATCTGACAAAACCAGCTGAAGCTTAATTTGATCGCCACAAAGAGATAACATTTTGATTTCTTGTGGAATTTCATGAAAAAGTTGTATGTTCTTCTCTCGGACAACCATCATTATTTGACAGATAATCGCATCCAAAACACTCCCGAGGAGAAATTCTTCTCTGCTTATCTCTACATGGCTGTTACAAACAGAAATGGAAATTTTCCTTAAATTTTGAAAAAAAAAAAAGAAGAGCTTCAAAAGTTCATGGCATGGTTGATGAACTAAAAAGAAACATCAAAAAATCACCAGCAGTAGAGAAAAAGGAATTTGTGTGTACTTACCCTCCTTCCAAACTTCTGAAATCCATATCCTCTATGATTGTCATGATTTGTCTCTCGCATGCATCACTAGTTTCAAGGAAGAGTTTCTGGTTTTCAGTAACCCCAGATTTTACAAGGAGTTCATGAGTAAATCTAAGGCCATTTAAAGGATTCTTCATCTCCTGCTTTATGTAGGTCAACTCCTTGAGCTGCAAAACGCCTTCCTTGTCCCTCGCCCAAATTCCTTTAGAGTCCTGTTCCAAGTTGGGCCCAGCAATTTGCAGGAAGCAGATACAACCAATGATATTTCCTTCTGCATCAGTTCTCTTGTTTGAGGTTACAAGCACCTCTGAAAACTTACCATTCTTATTGAAAAACCCTAATGGACACTTCTCGGTTTCTTCACCACCAATACCTTTATATAATAGGATCATAAACCTAGTGAGGGTATCTAAACCTTTCAACCTGCAGAAATTCCCAAAGATCTCCCCAGCTAACATTTTTCCTACAACTTCTTCTCTCCTCAAACCAGTAAGTTTTTCCATGGCTGCAGTCCATTCACAGCAGTAGCCATCCTTGTCTGAAACAAATATTGGTGGAATCAATGGATTCAGACTTTGAATAATAGTCTCATAGTCTCCCCGCAGACGAAGAAATTTATCCAGCATGGATTTCTCGGATGTAACATCTTGCCCAACAAAGCAAACCCCAACAATTTTGTTTGTGTAATCCCTACTTGTGCAAGCATTAACCACAATATACACAGTAGTGTTTTCTTTGTCAGTTCTGAAACTTCTCAATTTTATCTCCACATTTTTGTCTTCCTTACCTGAAAACACACAAAGACGATCAGATAACAATGGAGGGGGGAGAAAGAAAAAGAAGAGGGGATATTCCTATAAAACTTGGCAATCGGAATTATAGTTTATAAGGCCCAACTATCCCCTTGGAAGAAAATTGGTAGAACTCGTGATTTATAACTTTTTCTATCACACTAAAAGTCTTATATATTCAATTTTCTATTGCCATGCCTCTTGATTTTACTTTTTAGCAACTAATAATAAAAGCCCGCAATATCTACATTACCTTCCAGAGCATGGGAAAGTAAATCTTGAACAGTTCCACGGGAATCTTCGTGAACAATTTCATTAACCAGAAGTTTCCCCAAAGCTTCACTAGGTTGTAATCCCAAAAGTTCAGAAATTTTATCATTCCATCCATTGATCACACCAGTTGAATCAACCCCAAAAATTGGAACAGTTGCTGTTTCGATCAACCTAACCATTTCGCAAGCTACTGAACTGAGTTCAGAAATCTCAGTATCATGGTGCTGGACAGAACGTTCTGCCTTTGAATCACTGTCCCTAGTACTCAAAAAAGATTCCCTCATAATAATCTGCAATGAGTGAATGGCATTGATTTCTTGAACTTCCCAAGACATACTTTTACTCTTTACAACCTCAAGAAACGCTTTAAATGATGATCTTGGGTGCATTCTTCCTCCATCATCCTTATCATCTGGGTGATGTTTGGCTCCTCCCCATTGGACTTCCTTTGCAGCATGGGACCTGAACCAGAATAAAAAATCCTTTGAACTGATTTTTGCAGCTGCCATGCCACACACTGCATCGCCTAATAAAGCAGCTTCAGGGTACCCAGCATCAGCCAAACTATCCGTGCTCAGCCCCGTGGAATCCTCATAGTTCTTGTGTATCCACTCTGCAATATCTTTGACTTGTGCTTCGGTTGGAGTTACACCTACTAAACAACATGCCCCGTTATAGAGCAATGCGGCACCATCACACTTCACGAGATCCTTTATACTTGGAGATTTAGTCAGCAATGCATGTGGGGAGCCTCGGAGGAGCATGTCACAGAGTAAAGTTTGTGTCTTGAGAACCTTTTTCTCTGTTAATTGTACTGCCAATTGAAGCTCCATGTGGAGCTGCAGCCCAAATGCCTGCATGAGAAACTCGCAAGCATAACGAAGTGGGAAAGGGACATATCGTGGAGAAGTATGATGGCACACGACCAAGCCCCATAACCTTGTTGGCGAGTTATCACTGTTAATGACTACTGCCATGGCTAATGAGGCTATGGAGCCCATATTTGACATGTACTGCAAATGACAATTATGTGGTGCTCGAAGAGTTGAATTCACCAGACACAGAGGCTGCTTGAGCTCCTCGCTTTGAATGACCTGCACAGGCTTTGCGCGGCAATTGCAAATCATCCTCACTCGATTCTGCTTGAACAGAAAACGAGCAGCTTGAGGGATGTCTATGGCAGGATAATGCAGACCAAGATATGGCTCTAAGTCGGACCTTCTGAGTTCTGACACTACTTCACCATGTTCATCATCATGGAACTTATACACCATCACTCTATCATACCCTGTAAGCTTCTGGACATCTTCCACAACCGTGTCACATAGCACACCAATATCACCACC